AACTGAAACTGCATCAAATACTTGTTAAGTGGTAGCATATTTGACTTTGTTGTATTGATGTGTGAAATGAGCAAAAATTCAAATACACTTGAATTACAATAGTGTTTATAATGCAAGGCTATGAACACACAATTGTGTTTCTAATACTTCTCTTCGTTTTCTCTCTTTTATGTCTTTTATATTAGCAATGTAAGTGCAGAATTTCATTGACTAATACAGCTTCAACTCACTAACAAATTTCTAAGCCATATTTAATACCAGTTGCTATTGGATTTTTTCCATCTGAGTATGCAGCATCTAGTGTTGTTTATACAAGAATGATGAAGTGCATGTACATGTGTAAAACAGTAAAGGGAATTTAATCCTAGAAGCTTAACAGCTTTTCAGAAATTATAAAGTTATTAAATTATACTACGTGTACCTCATCCATATGAAGCAAGAAGCAAAAAATTGAAGAAAAACTTAGAAAAGTAAAAAAAATTTCCTAGTTTAAAATAGCAGAAATGGAAGCAAATGATAAATGTCCATTCTGTACTCTAATAGGTAAATACGCTCAAAGTGTTTTTTAAGCAAAAACTGAAATTAAGAAGGAATTTATAGCACTAAAATTTTCATCATTGAGTCTTTAGTGCTTCAGTATGGCATGCATTAAATACATACTACTAACATTCAAACAACACTCCACTAAAACATGTTAATACCAATATGACATGATTTACCATAAGTTATACAAAACTCAGTCGATTATACAGTTGCAGTGAGTCATCATCAATCTCAGTATCAATATTTACAGAAACACAAACTTTATGACCATTTTACATGTTTGTGAATTGACACTTCATCAAGCATCAAGACACACAACCTTGGCATGTTTCTTTGGAACTTGAATTTTATTTTCAAAGCATTCAAGGCATCTCAAGTAAATCCATTGTCTCCATCAATAGAATTAGTCCAAGGTCCAATAACCCATGGATAGGGAAGGCTATAAATCATTTACTTTTATATTCAACCGTTTCATTTACGTTTTACGGTTTTTCAAATAAAACTAGTGGCCACTAGCATGAAGTTAACAATCACTGAGATACAAAAAGCCATTGCAGATAAAACGTCCATATGATCGAGTATCTGCGACAATACTTTGCTTTGATTCGGTTGCACTTTCATTATTTTTACATGCTCGTAACATTGATCGAAGTACGTGTAATGAATGTAAATAACCATTTAAATAATCAAGTATAAATTTGTATAAACTTCCTTATTAGTCTGGAGATGTTATGAGTCAAAACGAAACGAGACTTGCTTAACAAATATTATAAGCCAGATTGCTTATGGCTATTTCAAAATTTACAATTTGTCGGGCTCAAATCCTTAAATCGAGAATGTAACGACTTTTACCTAATAGAGAGCTTTAGCAAAGACTACGAGTACGACTACGAGTGGAATAACGTCATATTGGCGCGAAAACATTGTTGCGACACAGTGAACTCTACAACAACAACACGTAGCCGTAGAGTTGTTGTAGAGTTCATTGCTGCGACAACAACAACACGTAGCCGTCATCAATCTGAGTAAGATGTTTTGTAAAAACTTAGTAGTCGCGACTACGATAAATTTTTAAACAGAGAAAGTAGGTATATTTTTCATTTTGCAAGAAATTAGTTTATAGTACTATTCTCGAGCTTTTAGGCTTTATTTTAAAACCTTTTTTGAGCGCACACGTACATTTAAAATGAACATATGACCTTGAAAACTTTCATGCATTTCGTACGCAAAGTGAACAGTAAACAAACAATAAAATAGCATAAATATATCGTACATAAAATTTGAAATAGTGAAGATTTTTCACTCTAAAGAGTCCTATGTTCTCGCAAAATCAGTATTACCGATTAGTTGATATCATTATTGACAAACGGAGCTGTAGCTTCTTCGGAAACGTCGGTGTTTTTCAAAATAAAAAGGCTCGTTCTGTTGTCTATAGCTAAAACTAAATTTTGAAGAAGCGACAATGAGAACAAACTTCCTCGTGCCATTCCCTTACACGGTCAAACTTCGTACTCGATGTCGTAGTCGTACTCTTACAAAAGGTCTCTAATGCTTTCAAATAGGCCGAATAGGCGAATACGTGCATATATATATTATTTTTGAATAATTCTCGACGAGTGTAAACATCTTGAAACAATCGAGAAATGAACACATAATTCAAAGAATTCTTACCGAAGAATGGGTGTTCCGACACACTGTATTGAAACGTGAAGGCAACCATGACACTCAGAAGATCATCTTCAGCCATATCGTGTATTGTAATTGATGAACTCTGTCCCCTGAATCGTTTATCCAAATCACCGAAGAAAAACAAATGTTTCTTGTGAATGATGCCGGATCAACTAAAAACTATTTTGTCAACATACTGACCGTTGTATGGTCACTCATAACACTACAAAGTATGCACTATCTTTGTCTATTTTCCATTTCAGGTTTTTCAATGTAAACAAATTTTAAAACCACGTGCTGAGTACGTGCCTCTCTGTACACGTTACTCCGATGTCGCCGTTTACATTGGTGCACGTGCCCGAGCACCGTACTCGGGTACTACCTCTTTCTGTGGTGCCCAGATCTGGGCACTTATAGCGCATTCAGATTGAGTGTCCCGGTACGGTACTCAGGTACGGGCACCAATGTGAACACAATATTTTGATGGTGCCCAAGTCATAGTGCCCAGGTATGGGCACCACGAAAATGGGTAGTACGCAAGTACGGTGCTCGGGCACGTGCACCAATGTGAACGACAGCACCTGAGTAATGTGTACAGAGAGGCACGTACTCAACACATGGTTTTAAAACTTGTTTACAATGAAAAACATGAAATTTATTAATAAACGAAGCTAGTGGGTTCAACGTAGTGAGAACGGTCTGCAGATTTGTGCCCGATCCAGGGTATCGTTCTCCGGCACTCAATCTAAACGCGCTGTTAGACTCGGGTACCATCAAAATCTTGTGTTCACATTGGTACCCGTGCCTGATCACCGTGCCGGGGCACTCAGTCTGAACGCGCCTCTAGTCGCAGAAATGTCTAGCAGTCAAGTATGAAACTACAAGCGTTAATGAAGCAAAATAATTTAATTACAGTGACGCGCACTAATTAAAAAACAAAACGGTTTTCCAAAAAGTTAAATCGGTAAATCTTTCGTCTTTTTCACCATAGAAGGATGAATTATATATCTGACAACATCAAATTAAAATGGTGCAAATTACCATTCATGCAGAGTCATGGATTTGGTAGATATCTTGGACTACGTTGTGTATAGAAAAATAGTTTTTAAAGTGGAACCTATAAACCCTCGTCCTCTATGTGATGTTTTTCTGGTACTTTGCTGAAAACTTGGATAAATACTAAAGTAGAATATCTCACCGAAATTAAATGTAACTTCCACCGCGTACGAATAACTTAACATAACATATAGCAATTGAAAACTCCTACACGTATATTGGCACGTCTTGACGCATTCAGTACTGTGATAGTTTGGAAAAGAAAAACAAATTTTTTGTTCATTTCTCGTTCAATTTATATCCAAATGAAATTTTATTCATTTTTAATTAACGAAGAGAAATGCACCCCTAAAATTTCGCAACAAAATTTTAGGTATTTTTTAAAAAATACGGCTCACAAACGTACAGCGGTAGTCATACTCGTAGTTAAATGTGAAGCTCTCAAAAATAATACTTATGGACAACTGTCCGCCAAACTGCAGTGAGCGGGCTGTTAATGGAATAGTCAAGGAACAATGTTGTGAATAAACCTGAGCCCCCTTCAAATGCCATCTCCATTTCAGCTAAGTGAATCACGGAGATGACTTTTAAATCACAATAAACGCCATATAAAATAAATTCAAAAAGAAAAGTCGATCTATGATACCAAGCGTAGTGGCCAAAATTTCTAACCAGCAAAATGATAATGTTTGATAATTCTGTAGACATGAGATATTTTCTAGGTTGTCAACATGGCATGTTGTAACGTCGTCATATTGTTAATTATTAAATAAATACGTAATAAACTCAACCCAAGCCCGGGCGGCTAAGGAAACAATAAAAATAACAATAAACAAAGCAGGGGCTTTACAATTAAAGATTTGGATCAATAAAATAATGTAAGTGTGACCAGGCACTGTGACCATGGCAAATTTTTTTGATGAGATTAAACACTCCCCCCTGTTTTGAACTTCATAGCATTTAAAAACGAAAAATCCAAAATAAACCGCGATTTGAAAGTTAACGCTTTCGCGTACGCATTAGCCAATTTTGCTAAAACTTTGTTAGCTGGAACAACATGTGCTGGAACCCTATGTGTTTCAACTGCTTTAAGCTCAGTCATTTTCGTGCGCAAGCTATTTCAAAAGTGCTTCCGGTATAACACAATTTTTCCTTAAATTATTTAACAATTTTTCTGTCAGAAGAACCATTAGAAGTCCAACTAGCGATTTCCACAAAAATTTTTTGCATATCTTGCGCGCTGATGACTTAAGCGATGTTTTATGAGCTGTTCAGTTTTTTTTGATACACCCTGAGTCAAAAGATGACTACCGCTAAGGTTGTCGAAACGTCAGTCAACAACAACAAAAACAGTCCTTCTAAGGACTTTATTAACCTGGACGATCATCATTTACAAACATGTAACGATACTCCCGTGTTCAAACCATTTACTTTATAAAAGCTTTATCATACATTTATCCAAATAAAACGTTCATGCACATTTGTGTGAGCTACCACAACCTTGCATAACTTTAAACAAATAGAAAAATTACCGTTATTACAGTGGATTTATTATTTAACTATTAGAATCAACAAATAAAACTAAACAACGTGATCCCTATACCCCAAAAGTAACCATCTTGAATCGAAAGCAGTCGGGGCGACAACTTTCGGGACTCTAATAAGGCTTTGTATGACAGCGTAAAAACATAATTTTGAAATTTGAAAATAAGCTTAGTGAACAATACAGAACATATGCTACGTATACTGTTTAATACATGGAACTCTTGCACATTCCACACGTTTGATTAAAAACATCGATTGGTAAGATTTTGTCAAATCACTACGCTCTCCGTTATTTAACACGATATTCGATCGACGAAGTTCAATAAAACAATCTAACCTTCCTTGTTTGCTTCTCGAGCATTCAAATTAATAAAATCCTACACACTTTGGGAGTTCTATTCGTTAACACCTTCAGAATTTTGTTCATTGATAGGAAGAGTCTGAAATTGAACACAGTAAAATTAAAGAATTATACGAAACGTCCCGCGACAAAGAAATAAAAGATGTTTTTCGTGTTTGCACTGGCTTATGCAAACCTCAGAGACGTTTGTGAGGACTCTCGAGCAGGTGCAACCCTCGACCTGCCAAAGTTCTCCTCGGTTTGTATAAGCCTGTGCAAACGCAGTAAACATCTTTTATTTCTTAATTGAAAAACATTTCACTAAAGACGGCGAAGGATTTAAAAACATATATAGTGGATTCAGAGTTTGGCAAAAACCTGCATCCGCTCCTTTAATGGGACATGGACCAAGTTACTGCACTATTGTTCAACTTTGCCTCGTCAACCACGCATGTATTTTTGAAATATACGTACACTAAATACCTTCAATGGTTTAAATTCATCTTGAAATTCTAGAACTGTTTGTTCAAAGGCTTGGGATTCGCTCGATCCACCTTCCATTCGTTTTAAGCAGGTTGATATGAACCTAAAACGTCATAATAAGAATGAAAAGTATGTATTGTCATAAAAATAACTCAAATAAGCACTGATTGATACAAGCATTCCAAGAATTGCTAATCTATAATCTTATGAACACGATTATAATTGTCAGTGGATGAAATGTTCTGTCGGTAGGACCTCAAAGATGTTCATGATTAAATTTATGATATTGTAGTGGTTGTTATAGAAACTGCATTTTCAAATTCTTATTGATGAAATAGTCACCAGATTTTGTCGTAAGAATGTTATCCTTCCTCGAATGAACTATTTATACGATGGAAACAAGGTTGTCCGTTAAAATTGACTCAAGCACGCAAGATTTTTAGAAACGGTGAAAATCTTTAGTATTCTCGGATGTACGTATGATATGAACGCAAAGAAAGTAATTTGGACGAATTTACGAATTTTACAAATTCACGATGTTCATAACAGATTTTCGCACCGCTGTCATATATTATTGCAAGGCTGCTTGCTAACTCAAACTACCCTTTAAATTTTGGTTTGCTCACTTCGTTTGGAATTTTCGCAAATAAAATGAAAATTTGCTTTCTCCTGACGAATGGCAATAGTTCGAAACTTCAAGAAAGATGCGTTTATTTGTCTTCATCAATCAATCTATGATGCCTCCTTCAAAATAGTGACCAGGGATATACCGGGCGAAAGCTAATTCTTATTATAAACATTAAATCCCAGAAAAGTGCTTTTAAAAGAGCCATTCAATATAAAAATAATGTATAAAAAAATAAATATTTATTCAATAGCGTAACTTTTCGTCTTCACTCTCAAGACATCATCAGACAGTATTAAATTAGAAGTAATGAAGAATATATATGTTATAGTTATTTACATAATCTTAAATTACATGGCTCAAAAATTGTCCCTCTCACTTTAAACCATTGCTTTATAGAAGATATGTTGATGTCTGTTTTCCCCTTTTTCGTAGTGTTGACCACGTGCAACCCCTTTCACGCCTACTTTAACCACCGACACCTCAATATTAAGTTTACATGTAAAATCGAACACAATGGAAAACTTCCATTTATTGACATCACCATTCATCGCTCTAACGGAAAGTTCTCCACGTCCATACAAAGAAAACCTACGTTCACTGGCCTTTTTACAATTTCCCAGTTTTATGAAACCGTCAAAGGAAACTCCATTGTCCTTCAGTTGCTCTAATCTAATTTTGTCTGTCTTTACGTCTGTATAATTTGTGATGATGTGTGTTTTTTATCTTTTATGATTTCCACTTCATACCATCTTATCCCATATTTACTGTCACTTTTTTTCATCCCACCATGTAAATAACTATAACATATATATTAATTATTACTTGCAATTTAATACTGTCTGATAATGTTTTGAGAGTCAAGACGAAACGTTACGCTATTGAATAAATATTTCTTTTTTATATATTATTTTTGTATTGAATGGATCTTTTAAAAGCACTTTGCTGGGCTTCAATATTTATAATAAGAGTTTGCCTCCTTTAATTTTAAATTTTATAAAACACGTCATACCCAACTAAAATACATCTAGGGTAAGTATACCTGGCTTACCTTTCACTCAAATGTTGATCATTTTCTGATCGTTCCATCAACGAGCGAGGCTCTGACTGAAATTCAGAATTAAGCCTTCTAAAAGGAAAAATGTAACATTGATGGTTGCATACTGATATAAAACCAATATGATTGTTATACTGACAACCCTGATGCTTTCCTTACCTTAGTGATATACAACACAGGTGGTTGGTATACTGATTTACATCCTGCTGGTTGTTACACCGATATACGACCCTGGTGGTTGTTATACTGATATACAACACTGGTGGTTGCTATACTGATTTACAACCCTGGTGGTTGTTAAACTGATATACAACCCTGGTTGGTTGTTAAACCGATATACAGCCCTGTTTGGTTATTACAAAGATATACAATACTGCTGGTAGTTATACTGACCCTAATGGAAGATACACTGAAATACAACCCTAATGTTTGTTACACTGACAAGCAACTCTGATAGTTGTTATAAATATATGTAAGAAGCATGGTTGGTAACAAATATCTCATTTTCATGCAATTTTATTTGTGTGGATAAGAAATAAACCAATCAAACATGTCACCTGCGTATGGAATCCTCTGGATACACAATCTTTTCAACAGTCCCCCGTTCAGGGATTCTTTCAAGGTCTGGAGTCTGAAGTGGAGGAAATGCTGCAACAACATCAAACCACACTGGTTTTTCCTTCAGCACGCCAGACTTGAGAAGGTCTCTAACTCTAGATAGAAAAACAGTCCATTTGGGAGATTAAATCATGTTTGATGTACACCATAAAACAATTAGGTTGCTAATGTGAAAATGAAACTTTATGGCACACTGATGTGCACAAAGAAGTCAATAATATCAAATAATAAGTAAATAGTGTTGTTTTGTTAGACAAAAGAAAGATTATCGGTCATAATTGGAGGATTAATCAGTGCATAGCCGTTCCACAAATTTGTTCATGCTATGCAATTTCTTCATCATTATCATTATTCATTTCTTCAGAAATTTACCTGTTTTTACAGTGAGCGCACACCAAAATATTTACTACAAACTTGTGGCCTGGCTATGCCTTGTGGATTTATGATGTCAAATATGTTAATATTCTTCTAATTAAAGACATTTGAATAAATTTGCCGAAATAGAAAACATATGGGTTTGGCAGAGCTATACAATAAAAACAATTTAAGTAGAGCAAGTTGAGGCAAATTAAAAAATACACAACAAAATATGTGAGATGTCTCATTACTCATCTAGTTACACTTTACATGTTTCTCAATGTTGATCATCCAGATGCTGACTGACGTTTTGACAAGTTTAGCAGTAGTCATCTTCAGAGTCAAATGAGGAGTAACATCATATTTTTTATGTGGTTCTTACGTCATTATATTGTGTGTACATGACATATTTGGGTGTCAATTGTGTATTGTCATCGTGGATTAGTGTAAAGTGTAATGTGTTTAATTGTTCGTTTGTTTGCATTGTGAATAAGTCGTTTGTAAGGTGCTGGTACTTGCTGTGATCTGTTCAGGTTTTTTTTTCCAAGTTACACTTTAATAACAACTACCAGCAGGTATTACTTAATTTTGACACACTCAAAACTTTCTGGATGGCTGGACTGGAAAAGTCGCAATACGCACCCAAGATTTGGAGTCCCCAATTTTGTAAAATTAAGGCACCAATGCATGAAAATTTTGTATCTCCAGTGCATAGTTTACAAACTTTAAAGTCCAGCTAGTGTGGGCAGTGATATTTAATAAGATCATCTCAAACTATTTTTAAGTGCTGTAAGTGCACTCAACAAATGCAGAAAATAGAACAACTCTCCCCTCACCCCTCGGATAGATTTTTTCCGTGTCTTCGGACGGCCATTTTGAATGTTACCAGAGTACGATTGCTCTGCTTGCTATACCAGTTGAGTGTATAATTGAGAACCAAACAAAAATTATTAGAGATGACTTTTGTATGTAAATATTCAAAGTCCAAAACATATGCTTTCTTTAGTGAGTAACAGAAATGTCAGAACACGCTGCTTTACTGAGTGACATAACAATACAAACTATCTAACTTTATCTATTTGACTACTCATTGCAACGACATTGCTAAGATCGAAGTTTGGGCACCATACCTCGAGAAAACTGTGCCTTTCAGATGACGAGAGCTTGCCATGAGTAATCTAGTTAGCTAACTGGAAAAAATTTCATTCTACAACGTTGAATTTCACTTTCACCATCTTTGTTTTCCGCGCTCTTGTGTCGCAGGTCGGAAAACCTGGGAAAGAATATTCGAAACTCTCTTCCAATCGCTTTAGCTTGCACTGTACATTTTTGATCAGGGGTCAATATCAAGGTCAAGGACGCATATTATTATAACAACAAAATTTATAGTTTAAATGAATTATCAGATACATCGCCCGTTATGAAACTGTTTTGATTAACTCTTTAGTCTTTAGGCTGTACCAGCCTTGACCAAAGTCACTGGTAGTTAATGCAAGATAGCTTTTACTGCAGATTGCCATAAGCCAGTCACTTCTCCGTCAGATGGTTTGATATTTGACAACCATATTTAATATACCCTAAAGCTATATAACAACTAGTATAAACATGGTAATTTAGGCACAGTAGGGTAGCTGTAAAGTTTGCAAGAAATTTGGAGCACACATACTGTTTAAAAACATAGCTTATTTTTTAAAATTCCGTCGAGTGGTTAAATATTGTAGCTTATTATTGTTATTATTCGCTCACGCTCAGTTATTTGATAGCAACATAGACGTGTAACGAGAGTAGAAAAATAACTTTGCTTCTACTTACATCTCGTACTTACGAGCTTTTTTTTCTGAAAATCATTCCAGCTGCTGGCAAGCTTACTCAATTTGAGTACTTGCTTCAAATTCGTGCAATAGCCTATCAAATGGCTTTTGGGATTGTCTACAAAATAGGCAACAAATTATCCATCTCGAATACCTTTCAACCATGCCCTTATAGGGCAAACTATTTGTCGCACAATAACACCAGCGCTCCGTTTGTAACGCCTTGTCTGGTGTCTGGACTAACTTCCAAAGCAAACGTCAGACAAACAGACATTCATATACATCTGCGCGCGATTTCAGCGCTCTGCAGAGATGTCGCAACTGGAGAAAGCAAAGAAGTATGTTTGGAAAGACTCAAATTTGGCGCTGTTTGATTCAGATATTGAAAATAAGGTTGGAAAATGCTTGAGAGGATCAAGACTTTTAGTTAGTTTGCCAAGAGGTTAAATTTTCATATTCACCGCTGTTGTATTTACTCTATAACGCTTATTTCTGCATAGTATTACAATTCTCAATAGTTGCATGTACATATTTTTTTGGAGTCATAATGATCCAGAACATTAAAGCAAAATATTCCTATAATTTATCTATATTGCGAAATGGCGAATATCAATAACCGCTGAATTTCTGTATGATGTGCAGGCTCAAATGTCCGACAACAATGTTTACAAAAAAAACAATCAAACGAACGTCAGTTATGTCACTGTACAATTTAATCATTAAATCGTATAGGAAACGCTGTGTATTTTTCCAATTTGTTTCAGAAATTTTCAAGAACTTTCATTTCATTTGTTCATTTTATTTTTCAGCTTTAATTTTTCACAAAATAAATGATGACGAGTAGCTATCGACTAGAATTTAATGAAATGCCTCAAACAGTTTTCTTTCATTAGGTCAAAAAATCGTCTGCTGACTCCGAAAAGGCCTGGGAAAAAGCTGGCAAAAGGCCTGGAATTCAAATTTGGAGGATAGTAAAATTTAAAGTACACGAATTTAAAGCGATTCGTTAACTTGCAATAGTCATGCAGGGAACTTTATGATTATGATGTCGTTCAAAACATATCAACGAATACAATTTTCTGAAAAAAACTCGCCTTGACATTAAATCGTCCTTCCCCCTTAGAGCATTCTTGTTGTCATGACGATTAATCAAACTCTTCTCTCTAGGTAACAAACTGGCCTAAAGATGAGTACGGAAAATTCTATAATGGAGATTCCTATATTATTTTGAGAACTTACCAGAAGCCGAACACTGATGTAACTATTCTTTATTCATCATTTTCTGCCTGAACAGTTTTTAAGTGTCATTGCTCAGGTCCAGACTTCAATCTCAAAGGGCAAGCGCAATATTTCTTAACGATGTTGCTAGATGATGTTTCCGCTCTTGCTGTAGTGGCTAGGTTACACCAATACCTGGATTCGTAAAAGTGGAGTGGCCATGCCATTTATTTCTGATTTCCCTCACAGCAAAAATGAATTATGTTAATGTACTGATATATTAGATATAGAAAGACTGAACTTCTTTGGCTGCACTGCTCGTCTTGTAACTATCGTTAACGCAGAAAATGAGCGATAGTTAAAGATATCTATTCTTAGTTCTTTCATGAAAGTTGTAATTTACGTTGAAACCTAAGAAGCCAGTAGAAAGGCTGTACAGAACCAAATCTTTGAAATGCTACGCCTCTCGGAGTCAGTCTATAAATAATTTAGACTTTGAATAACGTGGTTTTGTTGTTTGTTTGCTTGTTTAGACAAGCCATATAGTGCAGACATTTTCTCCATTTGTGGTTTTCCACAGAATCAATGCACCATGAAAAGCGCTAAAATCTTCTACACCACAAGATAAAGATTTCTCTTTCAGAATAAGTTACAGTTTGACGTAATCACAAGTGAGGTCGCCAGCCCGCAAATTTGGTCATGCTATGTAATCTTCAGATCATTAGCATTATTCATTTCTTCAGAAATCAATGGTTTTTACAGTGACTAAACGCCGAAATAATTACATGGCACAACAAAACTTGCAGACTAGCTACATTACTGGTAATCTAAGAGCTCTCACTCCCCAATTTTTAACCCCCACCCCATAATTAGTTCGTAGTTTGTTCTTGGCCTCATTCTTCAACATTCCCTACAAGTCGAGCATATCCACAGTACCATATAAAGTTACAAAATAAAGTCGACCATCTTTTGAAAGCTAAAGGGGTGTAATTTATAAACGACATTGTGTTTTTCACAGGAACTGTTGTATGATCTACACTTCTGGATTGGCAAATATTCGACACAAGACGAATATGGTGCAGCAGCTTACAAAACTGTTGAGCTGGATACATATGTAAGCTTACGGTCAGTGGCATCACCAGAACGATAAGCGAGGAAGAGGACCAATGAACTAAAATACATGCAATGCTACCTACCTGAGGCAATTAACTTAAGCCGAATCTTACACCCAGACACGCGAGATTACACACAGATACGCGTGTGTAGTGTTTCGAGATTCTCTCGGGGAGTGAAAATTGATTGAACTGGGTGTAAGATTTGGCTTGAAAAAATTATTAATATTTTCTATTACAGGTAGCATTTAATGTAATATAATGGTAGTTCATGTGTAGTTCAATGAGGAGGACAGTATTCATATATGCATGTTTTTTACGTATTAGTTCCTTTGAAATTGTTTCTTGTGGATCAAAACATGCATGTATTAATATAGTCTACCTCATTTATCGAGCTGGTGACGTCACTGTCAACGGTGTTTTTAGGATTGTGTCATGGGCCGGAACTAGAAAAACTCAGACCGTAGTACTGCAAAAACAGATTGGTTGAAATGACCGAAAAATTGTTCGTTTGAGTACGTCCAGGTCAACAAATGAATTTGTTTTTTTAGCTGTTTTGATCAAATACGGCTTTGGTTAAAATGATAAATTAAAACTGGTTAATTGCCATTTTAATTGGCAAACATGATCAAAATTCAATGACTATGAAATAAGGTCAATTGCTCAATTCAACCAATTATATAATTCGTCATGTCATTGATGAATAAACTAATTTTAATTGGTTACAACCAATTGAAAATATTCAGTTTAATCAACTGCTTCGAACACTTGAAACTGTGCATGTAGAGTGTAAACGAGCATAACCTTGTTCCTCGAAGATTTAGCTGGAATATTATGGCATTAATTTTGTGATTCTTACTTTCAATGCTACACCAAAAGTGCTTTATAACTTTTGCAGATATGTTCTTGATTTCAGCTCAATGAGAAACCTGTCCAACATCGAGAAGTTCAAGAGCACGAAAGCCAACTTTTCAGGAGTTATTTCAAGGAAATCACATTTTTGAAAGGCGGGTAAGATTATAATGTAAGCCAAATTTTATCATTATTACCTTTGCCCCGGCCCGAATGAACATGCATGCACTCTAAATTCTAACACGAAAAACGGAAAAATAAAAACGGTGTAAGTTCTTGCCTCCGTACGATCACCAAGGAGTTATAAGTTTACACTTTGTTAAGTCTATATTCACATTGCATTTGTAAGTTTACATCAAATTGGTGTAACTGCCCTTGCCTCATTATTTACATTAAGCGAGTGTAAAAATAAACCTTTTGCCTTCTCAAGACGTAAGTATAGAGGTAAGATGCATATCGTTTGAGCAGAACAGAGAAATAAATTCTATTTCAGCAAACCCTACCGTTTTCTAAGGCTTTTATCTTGAAAATCTAGAGCAGAAACCGGCTTCCGTCACGTTGAACCTACGAAATATACACCCAGATTGTTTCAATTCCGTCGCGAGAAGGTACGTTCCAAAATCGTCAAACAGAGTACATTTTCACGACTGTTAACAATATTGTGTACAGCAAGCTCTTACCATCCTCAAATTAGGGGCTGTTTAAACATACATGAGCTCTCCGGAAAGGGCTTGCTCTTTCTCTAAATTAACGCTCTAGCTACGGCCCTGCTAACCTGTTTTATTTACATGGAAATTTCCAGCTCTTTAGGCGAGGTTCTGCAGTTACAGTTGGGCCTTCCTGTCATGTGAGCGAAATGGATTTAGCATTGACATATAATAGTCCACAGAATCTCGCTTGGTAGGGCTGACCCTATATAATGCACAAAATTTTTTCTTTGGAGCGTGTAAAGTTTCATAAAGCTTTTAAAGCTCTAGCAAGTTTACAAATGGCAACAATGTACGCGAAAAGTTGTCCAAACTTTGTGATATAAGTAGTGATATCCTAGTGACTAGTAATGACCTTTCCAAAACGTTCAACAAGACGCTGCGAGCAAATAATACGGTATAATGTTAACAGGGCCCAAATCGAAACGTCAAAGAGATTTTTCAATACCCCTCCATTTCCTTGCTAATTTTCACATGCTGCTTACCAGTATGAATTTGTAATATTTATAGTGGGTTTATTCTATTCCAGAAATGGGTCAAGTATTGTCGATGTTCCATATGTTCCTCTTACAGTACAACGTGTTTCAACACACATAACTACAAGGTAACATACGTTACCTCCTTATATATAAAAAAAGTTAAATTACGGCAAATATTTCTTCAAATTGTGCAGATCGCTACCGAAAGCAAATCATGACTAAATAATGGGCTTATAATTAAGACCAGTTCAATTGAGCACTTGTCAAGAGAGTGGAACTAAAACTGCCCAAATTTCTTCCATGAGAAAACGCCTTCTGCAGGAAATGGTTCACATGCGCAGCTTTCATCTTTCACTTTCAAAACTGGAGCACGCTAAGTACAGAGAGAAAGCCAGCCTAAAATTTTACTTCTAGAATGCCAATTTTCAAGCAAAATTATATTTAATTCTTCAGAAAATGCATTTTCGTTCATTGTGTTCCACTGATTGAGAAAAAAAATGAGCTGACTTTGCTGCTGCCTACATAATATTTCATGACATGCTCGTAATTCCACAATGATGACATGATTATTTTAAGCTAATGTTACCTAATTTCAAATCATGTTCCCTATTTCTATTGTTTTCGATTTTGGTCAGGGATCAGTGATCGTAAAAGAAGTGCCTTGTTTTAAGGAGTCACTTGATTCTAGCGACGTGTTCGTTTTTGACGGTGGATACGAGATTTATCAGGTTGGTGACAATTATGGCAGGGTCGAGTCATTCAAACATCAGCAAGCAGCTGTTATGTTTTAGTAGCCTCTCCACTTCGAATCTTTTCATTTTATGTCGCCAGTTGTATCCTTCCTTCTATTCTCATCACATGGACAACAAGTTTTCTTTTTTAATTAATTAGACAACTTTAGTTCTTTATTTTTATTACATGGATAACTAATTCTCAATTATCTTTACATAGACAACTAGTTCTCTATTCTCACCTCGCAGAAAACTTGTTCTTTATTTATTATTCAGGCAACTAGTTCTCTGTTCTAATTATCTAGTGGAATGGCATAAATTCCAACAAAGACGAACGCTTTATCGCTTACCAATACATGCAAAATTTAAAGGTAAACTTGAAGTCATTTTATAATGGCGATTGCCATTTTATTGTTGAGTGTTGACAATTGAAATATTTATTTGTTGAATAAAATGATGTTTGATATATTAATAAATGAATGCCGAAAATTCCTAGAAGCAGCAATTCTTCTGCTTCTGAAATTCCTAGAAGCAGCAATTGTTTAGAAGTTCAGCACAATGATTTAACTGCTATAGAACATTCGTCTATTTATCCTACAATAACGCAAAACGTGCGAGAGAAACTAAAAAATAGCTTACCAAACGTAAATGTTTTCTTTAAATCATGGACACAAATTTCTTCAGCGGACCATCTATAACATTTATAAATCTGTACTGTTAAGCTGAAGTCTAAGCAATTTCACGCAAAACCTTCACGTTTGTCCGAACTCTGAATCTCCAATGTTTTAACTGGTGGCATGCCTCGTTCAAGTTTAAACAAAAGTAATCTGTAGAGTCTTAAAAAAAGAACACATAATACTGAAATATTAATTAGTTATAGAATAAAATCAGACATATTTCTTGATTTTATTTCACTGTTTTTTTAGTCCCAAAGAAATAATCGTCCAAGAGTAGAGACATTGGGTAAATAAAAGTTATGCTGGACATCACTCGACATGTCTTCACGAGAATAGCTTGAGAAATTCACTCTCTCAATTTCAACTTTAAAGCTATACCATATCTTAAAATTTCCAAGACATTGCAAAAAGAACGAGACTCGTTGCGTGAAAATATCCAACGCTAACACTTTTATCTTTCTTTTGACAGAGGAAGACAGAATTTCACCGAAAAATGCATTTCGTACGAAACTACAAAGCGGTGGAAAACCTAAAAAGAATAAGGGAAAGGTAAGGATGTTTAAAATATTTTATTCAAAGAAGGAAATTCAAAAAAGTTTGGATGAAAACATTCTTCAGGGGCCCAGTCTAACGATGCGCCACCATTGAAAAAGAAACGTTCAAATTTGGAGCCTCTAGATTAAGAAAAATGACCTTTTTGGTGGATTTTTAGTGAAAAATTTAGTTGCACGGCACCACACAATTACGGCAATATTTTGGTTCATAAAAATCGCAAGTGCATGATAAAAGTGCGAGTATGCCAAACAATCTCAGACAGCCACATCGGCTACAACTGTCCATGAAAAACGATTTCTTGCATAAATAACTCTTTAGATGAAGAATGTTATGTCTAGCCTGGACAAACCTCCTGCACCCAAAAATGAGTCGTCAAAGAAAGATCCATTCCGTTAACGCATTTGGATAACTCCACATTAAAAGATATGTGCTGCTTCGAAAAGCGTATTTGCCATAATGAATGAAAACTTGGTAATTTTTCTATCGAAGCAGAATAGTAACGACGAAAAAATTTTTGTCCGAGCAGTCGTGGCAACGGATGAAAAGTCTACCAAAATTCATCGTGTCATTTGATTTATAGTTATCTTAATTTTGGTATTCGACTGTTTTAAGAACCACCGTTTTGTCAGTAACCGTAGTAACGTCACTTACCTCGACCAAGTCTTTCTTTTAAAGAATAGAATGTGCAACGCAATGAACTATAATACATGAAGCGCTACCTTGGTTGCAATCCGATGACATATTCACATTGATTGTTTTACAGGATACTGTCGACGCTGGAGCACGGGAGAAAAAACTATACAGGCAAGGGAAAATCTGAACAATGCAATGTGTTTGACGCACTCTGGCTGGCAAATTTAACGTGTAGAATTGCTTTCTATCTTTGCATTCAGGATCTCCGACAATAGCGGAAGTCTTCGAACACAGTTGGTTGCGTCTGGTGATATTAGCAGAGACAATCTGAAATCGGAAGACGGTAATTAATGACCATACATCTTTTTAAAATTACTCAGAACATCAAAACTTATATACATCTCAGAGCGTATCCAACCCGCATGTTTGATCGTGCTGTATGAAGTAGATATCACTGTAAATGCAATTGATTTCTAGAAAGGTCCACTTAGCACGACCAAACTTCGTCCTTTTTTTGGGAGGGCAAGAAGGCTGGCCAAGGTGGGAGGACAAAATCTACCACAAAAAACTTTACCGGTCACCAAAGCAATAGCTTTGTCGAAGTCAAAATTTAAATATCTTGATACTTCTGATTCAAATAGTAGACACTGCAGCGAGCAAATTTAAGAGAAGCAGTTTATATTAGTGAAAATACCTAAATGGAAACGATACAAAAATACAAAGATTAGAACCTAACCATTCGAACCGTAAATATATTCGGAAAATTGCATGTTTAAAAATGAGCTTTTGTGATTCAAAACCCCAGATTCTTACACGAGTTCAACTAGCTAAAGTGCAACTGGTATGTCGCTAAACATTCCATCAGATTCACCGGTAAAACATTCCTCTGTGCATACGGTATGAGGATTCAAAAGACAGAAGGACTTAAGTCCGTACATTATATGACAACAAAAGCTAATTGGTTTAGAAGAAGCTTTAACTGAATCCGATGCCCGTGCAACTATACGTTATTATTTATCATTTACGTGCATTCAATAACCTTTCAGCGTTTGTGCTTGATCATGGCGAGCACGTGTTTGTGTGGATTGGGTCACGTGCAAGTGAAGGCGAAAGAAAGAACGCTTTGCCTATGGCACATGTAAGTTGATTCAAGAAGGAAAACATTCAACTGAATTTTTATTTGTTTGTTAATGTAATCTTCCAGGATAGTAGAGTCGTCAGAAGGACTGTTGGTATTGATGTTAACTGACGTTTTGACAACCTTAGCGGTAGTCATCTTCAAAGCCACATAAAGATGACGACCATAAGCGTTGCCAGCTCGCAAATCTTGATCCCGCTATGTAAATTGTAGGTCATTATCATTATTCATTTCTTTAGGAATCCATTGTTTTTACAGAGAGTGAGCGCAAAAAGATTAACATAGCTGGACCAAATTTTGGGGATGACTTCACCACTGATAACTACCGCTACGGTTGTCGAAACGTCAGTCAACATTAACACCAACTGTTCTTCTCAGGACACTACTAGCCAGGACGATCTACACCTACGAACATCTAACTATACTCCCGGGATCGAACCATTCATTCTAAACTTTTATTTGTTACTTGTCTACTATCTACTTAAAGGAAGCTAAAAAACTTTCCATTATCAAAGTCCAATGGAAATGGAAATATTTTACTCGCTTCTTTATGCTAAGTGATAAGTTTGCAATGAACTGTTGGCTCCAACAACCTGTCTTGCTTTTTCAGTTATTTCTTCAACAATCCGACCATCCGTTTGTTCCAACAACCGTGATCATTGAGGGCAAAGGAGTAAGCAAAGAATTTGATGCCATGTTTCAATGACAAAAGAAAATTCTCAGACTATCAAGACTGCACGAGTCCAAGAGACTAGTGAAAAAATACAATGAACTACCTGGACAGAAATCATACACAATGCAATTTGTGAACTATCGCGTTCAGAAGAAGGCTATTGAACGAAGCGCTTTTTTCCAAAAGATAATGTAACAACGTTTGCATATCTGCCTTATGTGCTAGCTAACGCATGCTTTTTTCTAGAATTTTTTACCTTATCTTTGGCGATGTGATGTCGCTATCTTCCCAGTTTTTTGCAAGCAACTAAGGAAAAGAAAATATGCTTTGTTTTTTATACAAATAAACCAAATGATTACTAGTGTCAAACTTTGAAAGGAGTTTATCCTTTTAACTTGATGCGTGCTATAGAGTGCTTTCATCAGTCGTCATGTTGGGGGAAAATGGCATATATATAGTGAAAAGAATTTATAGGGCAAGTGACTCGGACATTTTACTATTTATATTATGTTTTCATTCGACTGAACTTGAGAATTACAGTGTGTTTTCTAAAACAGTTCACGCACTTCTCTTTTCATTCTCAAGACATTGAAGTTTTTGTAATGTCCGATTAACCCAACTTTTGGCGTCATTTTGCAAGAGTTTTTACAAAGTTTAAACATCCTTGTGTTTCCTGGAAACTTCTGATTAAAATGATCAGACAATTTTCAGTATTATAATTCTTCATAATGAGCGCAGCTCTGCTCGGTTGATGAGCAAATTCATCTGCTATTTCGAATTCGAATTCTCATCATGCTATATATGACGTCACAAGTTGCGTAACGCGTACATTACATAAACTTCAATATCTTGAAAATGAAAAGTGATATAAATAAAATTTTTGAAGATTCACCGTCATTTTCAAATATTTGAAGCTTGACCTTCAACATTGTAAACTTTTGTTAGCCCTAAACTTTTCATGCGATCTTGGCTTTGGTGTTTTTGAAATACTTCTTTCCGAGTTTCACACAGATAAAAATGTATTGCTCCTCCTTCGCCGACAAGTGAACTTATGATTTATCACCATAAATTTCCCAATGGGCTCTGATAAAGATTCCCGTGTTGGAGGTCCCAAGTCCCCACGCCACGAAGTTCCTTATAGCTTTGATATCGTATTAATACACCAAACAATTCATAATTGAATCCATAACTGGCAGTCTTACAGTCCACTCCTTATAAAGGGCAGGTTTTTAGCAACTAAATGAAAAAGAATATTTCTTGTTCATGATTGCTTATCTGCCAACAAAATTCAGTGGAAAAACATTTCCTGACAATGATATTCCTCCCAAGATATTTCTCCAAGAAAAAGTTCTTTACACAAACGAATTCTTTGGCGTTAAATTTCATTATGCTTTGCATTAAAAAATGATATATCATAGCAGGGAATATACAAAAACTCTATATGCAATAAAACTTAGTTTACACGTTGTTCACCTCTTCCTGTAAATCTCTCTTTCCCCTTCGGGTATTTTCCATGTTTGATATTCAAACAAAAATCGCACAAACATTTGAGAATAAAGCTGCTCCCAAGTCCAAAGGTGGATTTTGCCACAATTGTTTAAAACAATAAATGGACTGAAATTGTACATAAATTGGAAGTTTTTCATGAAAATCATTTTCATAACTGGTCCGTTGCCTTGATTATATGGCCAGAATAACAAGATTATCTTTCTCTATTTCATGTAATGTTAGATTAGTCTATTTTTGCTATTGTTCCTTTCTTTTGAGATTCCGAAATAATCAAACATTAGTTGTTCCCCGCATATGACAAAAAGCTTGTCGAGACCATTTCCCTACCTGCCATTTCCCACTCTATTCATCATTGTTGACTAACATCACACACTACATTGGGTAATATTTCATTGTGGTGTAGGCATTCATTTTTGAAACTATACACTTCATCAGAATGACAATATTAGGTTTGTTTTCAATGACACATGAATGCCATAGCGCATTCGGATTAATATTCTAGAAGAAAACAAACACACGGTAAATTAAGCGAGACGATCAAAAAAATAACTTTGTAATTAGATCAACAGAACTATTTACACAACATGTATTCTATATAAAGTAAAATACTTTTACTATATTACGATTCACCCTTTCGTGAATCTATATTAAATAACTACGTAATATAATAACGATTTAACAATCCATGCAACTAGCTACATATAAAATAAAAATATGAAAAATGAAAAAGTGAAATCTTGAATATAATGAAAATACCTAGCTACATCATACACATTGTGTCTTATTGTAACTATATCTAGAGTCCACAACTCAAAAATTGGGTTGTCGTATAAGTTCACATCTACCACGGACGAGCATTTTTATACTTCAAATATTAAAATAGTAAAACGCGTTTAAAATTGGAAATCGACAGTAAAAAGACATGGAAAAAAATGTCTGAAGAGCTCTATAATCGCTCACATGAAAAGGAATTCAACTTCTCGCCAAATACAATCAACGTCCAAGTTAAACATCTAAAGCACATGTATTGTGTACTCAAAGCGAATCTAAGGCACTAAATCAAAAATGCACATAGTACAAGTGTTGAATTCCTTGCCATAGTACAAGCTTCTATTTCACAATGTGAGAAGTGTGAATTTGTTGCTTGCAACAAATACACAATTCAAATAATAATATAAAATATTTCATCGATTATCGACAAAATTATTGACCATTGACAAAAAGATAGCTGGCGTCATTCAATTATTGACAAAAAAATAATCATTATCCTGAGTTTACTATGGACTTTTCAAAATACAGTGGAATTTTCAGAAGCAGGTTTGCAAGAGTTTGCATCATTTACATTAGCCAATTTTTTCAATGGTCAACAGTTTTACATTCGACTAAAAAAGATACCAACTTCTTTTGGGACAAAAACAAAAAACAGTTCAAACAGGCATTTTGCCAAAAGAAAATAAATATTACAATAGTTGTATACTCTACCAGTAAACTATATATACTAAATGCGTAACACATGCAAATTTAATCTTCGAATTAGAACATTTAGCGACCGTAAAATCGGGGGATAAATAACTATTTGCAACCATTTATTTCAACATTTACAAACATAGTAAATGTATTAGTTGACGCTAGGTGAGGGGAGAAGTGCAAATTCATGATTAATTTTAGCCTCCCCTCCCTCACAGAAAAATGCTCAGCACTCCGCGATACCCTTAAAAATACGAGCATGCTCAGTGTTTGCTTCAAAACAAGAAGCGACAAAAAATATTTTGATCTAAATATCTACTCTCTTATCACTAAAAGTGGATAAATTTTTAAGAATTTCGATAGAGTTTTGAAATATCCTTATAGAACTAAGGAGTTGGGTTACATTACTAAGGTAAGTCCGACAAACACTGAACTCAGCAAAAACACGGTGGCAAACGCGATAAAATATAAAGCTTATACCACAACTTAGGCTTGTTTTGAATGTTAGAAACAGACCTGATGAATAACCCCACCAGCTTGATAATCAGGGGGATAGTGAGGGGAAATATTCATTAGGGATTATAAAATAAAAACAAAAAAGCGCTCTGATTGGTTTATAGCTGATTTTGTATTAGCAAATGTAAACTAATTTGAGCTAATTTGATAAAATAATCAAAGATAATTTGCAAATCAGTCATGATTCACGTTAGAGTAAAAATTAAACCATTAGTTTCACACCATTTGTTTCGCATTATTGTAATTTTATAAAAGAAATAAAACATGTTTTTTTTTGTGTTAGCATGCACAGCCTTATGCAACCTTCGGAGACGTTTTTTATAAATTGTAAGGTCTTCACAGTCTGTGCAAACACAGTATACATCTTTCAATTCTTTAAATAAAACATGCATATATTATGAACATTCCCCCTCACAAATTATCTAATTGGCAGTCACACTGCCGACATTAACAAGGAGTGTTTTATAAAAATCTCTACTTCTATCGACATCATGCACATTCCAGCGCGTTTACTGGATGAGTCCAGTGTATAAGCGTCCTTAACAAGCACAGCGTTTTAATGAAAAGAATCCGGATGAGATACCATTTAATCCAATGCACAACGAAAAAGGGTGGAATTTCATCCCCCGTTGAATGATGAGAAAGATGTAATATAATCTACCGAAGACCAATGTTTGTACCTCGAACATTTTGCCTTAGGTTGACTGCTTCGAAAGATTGTTAACATGGTAAAATATGGAGCAATGAACGAGTGAAAATATTCATCCAATTCACTACATCAAGTTATGATTGCTATGCATGACGTAATCATATTTGCAACTCTGTGCTAAATCTTACTTGTTGAATATAAGGATTTCTTGAGAATAGGGTTGGCATTGCGCTAATATTGTGCTGGCAGTTATAGCATTCACCCGGATCTTTTAGCATATCAACTGATATTTTTCATGGAGCATAATTCCGTGTATTGGTTGAAAAACTACTTCTTTATAACTAAAAATGAATGCTAAATTGAAAACTACTTCCTATCCACTAAATATTAGCTTCGGATTAAATATGTCTATCTGACTTCAAAAATATCAACTACGCTCAAGATTACATGGAAACTACTGTAACATCTGGTCTTCGCTCACTCATATTTGTATTCTTACTCCGTGAGTCGCTTAAAAACAGCACGTGGTTGGGAATAAAGGTTTGGTGTTCATTCCTCACCGGAACATGGCTCACCGTGTTTGTGTTCTTCTTGGTAGGTCTTCTAAATTTTGAGTTGCGAAAATAAATACAAATATTGTATATAAATAGGAAGCATATGTTCAAACGCCTCATTTTTCATTGTCTTAGCTAGCTTTTTTGGTGCAGGCTTAACTTAATTTCAAAGCGGGTTCGACTAAGTATCGAATTCAGCTTTATGTTTTAACGGGCGAAAAAAAATGCCAAGCGTCTGTACCTAACATGTAGCGTGAAATTTCTGGAGGTAATGTTGGAAAACGATTACCGACAATGCAGCCAGAATTTACATTCATATCTTCATATTTGCATTGCAAATCTTCGTATTTATCCTTTCGATTAACATTTCTAAACACTACATTACAAAACTTAGCCTACTTATCCTTATAAACATGTCAATAAACGATTACTTGTCAATGAAAGATTTTGTATGCAGCGTTCCGCCCACAGAAACACTGAAATTGAGGAACTGCTTGCGGAATGTGGCATACAAGAATTCCATTGCTCTGTATGCACCATTTTAGTTGACAAAGCTTAGTGAATGAAATATGAAATATGAATGGCTTGAAAATGCTCTAGAGTATTCAAATTCCACAATGCGCATTGGGATCAGCTGTTGATAACATTTTCAACCTCTTCGCTTACTTTATTGACTAGTTTGAAACCCTGTCTGGTTTATTTGGTAATGTCTAAAACAATGTTACTATCGTTACCTGCGGTCTCACGCTTGGAGAACAGTATGACGGCCTGTTGATATGCCCGAGAGATTGCTTCATATCGCTCTCACAAATCATATTCTCGAGGTCTTTGATGTATAGTATTGCCATTCGCAGTATTTGCAGCTTTGGTAGTCTCCTCTTGCACGGTTGAATCATCACGTGTTTGCGTAGTTCTCCGAAGCCTTCGCTGATCAGACGAACTCTGTTGCGTTCGCGTTCGTTGCGTTTGGAGCCACCTCCCGTAACATTAGCTCCTGTAAAATGCCAGGAACGTCAGAAACAAAGCTACATTCTTTCTTTTTTGTTCACTGCAATGTGGTTGCCCTTAACTGTTTTGTGCAAGTAAAATAGCAATTTCAAATAGATCGAAAACGGGTGCTCTTTACTCTATGCTTTAAACAACCGATTACAATTTCACTATTTCAATAGCAACGGCTAACAATGCTGCCGTGATTCGTCAAAATAGCACGAACAGATATAATTTTTACCTCTTCTGTACCGACACGTCGTTTCTTCAAAAGAAAATCTATCTTTATCGTGATTTTCGACGCCATAACGAAAGGTTTCGTCATTCGTTTGATCCAAAATGTCTTCGTTCTCGTTGTTTTCGTGAAAACTGTTTTCTGTTGGTGAGGTTAATGGACTCTCCCAATCGTCTGTCCACTGAAGCGGCGAGGGGCTGATCGAACTCCTCTCCTTCAAATGCAGATAACGAAGATCGTTTGCTTGGTTTTCCAGTTCAAAATGTCTCAAGGAAAGCATCCCTAGTCTGTCGACATTGAAGTGAGGTCTCGACATGTTTCCAAGACACTATGAAATTGCTTTTATTCTACGTCTCTTCAATAATAAGCATAAAGCGTTTCTTGCTTGCATTGCAAATGCAATTGTTATAGAAAGCTTCGCTTCTTGATCTCGACCAAGGACACCCAATGTGAACTAATTAAGTATCTTGCATCACGCGCAGTCTTTATACAATGGTTTCGTGGAGTACCTTTCAGGTTTTGTATGAACTTTTGCATAAAATTTTGTGACACATTGAAGGTACAACATCAATATTGGACCCTATGCAACGGGCCATGAATTTTGTGTAAATTATCTGCAAATGCAACTTCAGCAAGGCCATTTTCAGCAAGCTTTGAAGATAAGACACATTAGAGCTTGTGGTTATATTAAAGACCTTTTAATTATGTAAAAAATAATTACCTTTTTTTGGAGTTAACTGTCTCTTTAAGACACTATTAAAGTTTGGCCTCTTGCTATTGCAAGTATTTGTCTCTAGGGTGAAAAGTTTCACGCTGAGCGATTTGTATACAAAGACAGCCCACATCCGTCTGAGTACACTTTAGAGAGTGATGTTTATACACTTTATATATTGCATGAATTCTGTTTGCTCAATATAGCTTTTAACCAATTTCGTCCATCAAAATAAAGTAACTGATAAAAATATCAAAGAATTCCATTGCTCTGTTTGCATCGTTTTAAATCGACAAAGCTTAATGATTAGATTATCGAATGAAAGAACACGGTATGCTTGAGAATATTCTAGTGTATTCAAATTCCAAAGAATGCTTTGAAATTAGCTATTAATGTAATATCCATTTGCATCGCCAGTATTTTGCAAGTGTGTGTGTATGTGAGTGTGCGTGTAGGGGGGTGTGATGTGGAAAAGGCACAAGCCACAAGCTAATTTTGCGGGCAATGGACATCAATATTTTTCCTACGTCAGTGAAAACAAAATTGTGCTAAAAATTGCCTAAAAATTATATCATATCTACCGACACCTTCTTAAATCTCACTCATGTAAAACCAACTATTCACATTCTTGCTTCAAAATCATCGATACTGCCGACACCTCATTCACCCTTAAAATCAAAGAAGCACTCCACATTAACAAAACTAACCTTTATCTTAATGTTCAAATTTTTAAATTCAATACAATATTTAGTTTATAATACTCTCGGATGCTCTCCATTAATTTATCTTATTTCCTTTTTATTGTTGTAATTTATGTATTTTATTACTTTTATATAAACCTTGTATCACTTATTATCTCACTCATACTGAAGATGGCATCATGAGATGTCGAAACATGTCTATTTTCAAAAAACTTGTAGTGTATATTAAATGTGCATTAGCAATAGTGCTTTTATGAAATTATGGAAACACTTAAATTTTGTCAAGAAGTAGTGCTTTGTTTTTGCATTGGTAAAATTCTGTTCTTTAGAAATTCAAAACCAATAGTATTTTCTGAAAGCACTTTTTTGAACGCACTCACCGAATTTAAAATTGAGCAGCTACAATTTATATTGACGAACGCTGGATACGCTACTGTTTTGCATTGTATTTTGCGAAAGCTAAACAAGTCGGTACTTATGATTGAAAACCTTTAAGGCACCGTTGACGAGTAATAATTTCATTAAAGCACAAACGCACTCCTTCCCATTAACTTCCAACGACTCCTTTGAAAAAGTTTTAAAATAGAACGCCATTTAGGAATTTTTTCACACTGTGTTGACTGAATTAATAATTTTTGTCAGTTGTTTGTTACATCAATACAGAAGGCTTGCTCATGTTCTACAAATGCTAACCCAAATCCTTAATCTTATACCACCACGACATTTACTATGGATCAGATTAGGGATCAATGTCGCGTGTTTTGGTCAAACATGCGGTATTATTACAAGAATTATTACGTTTGGAGAGATTACCTTGAATTGTTTGGCCATCATTGTTTAGCTTTATTTCATTATTATACTCTTGTTGTACACTCTCTCTAAGAAGAACCAAATTTAATAGAAGTTCGAGGGTAAAGTAAGACTAAGATAAGATCAATAAAAGAGATAAGATCAATAAAAGAGATAAGATTATATATATACAATAAAGAAGGATATATAAGAGAGAACATAAAGTACAATAAGAAAACAATAGAGTAGAGTAGATTGTAAGATATGGCAAATAAGAGAAGGTACAGTGAGATAAGACAGGAGAGATGGATGTAGTAAAATATGGCAAATATAAGAGAGGGTACTATAAGATAAGACAAGAGAGATGGGTGTAGTAAAATATGGCAAATATGAAAGAAGTACAGTAAGATAAGACAAGAGAGATGGGTGTAGTAAAATATGGCAAATAAGACATAGGGTAGAGTATAACAAGACGTATAAAAGAGATGATACACCAAGATAAAACAAGTAACAGGAAAGATAGAAGTAAAAAACACAGTACGTAAAGCCTGGTTCTCAAGAAGTCTTTCGAGTTGTTTCAGTTGACTTGAGTCATCTCACTCAAGAGCGCAAGTCAATAGTACAGAGCTCTGTGCGCTCTTCTATGTATACAGATGACTGAAACGACTAAAGCGACTGAGAGCCCGGCTTAAGAGAGGGTACGTTTCATCCAATTTCTCGCCTCAAGGAGCCTGACGTAACAAAAACACTCTTTCACACAACGTGCTTTAAAAGATTGACAATTTCTTATGCTCTTTGCGTTGATGAATTTTTTGCATCAAAACTTTTTCCTGCATTTCAATTTCTTTTATCTTCGCTTGCAAGGCGTCCACTTTCTTTTTTGCTTCACTCAAAAGAGCAGAACCTCTATATTTAGAGAGAAAAATACGTCAACAAAACTTCAAAGCATACTTCAATGACAAAACGTGAATCGAGTCTTGATTCAGCCAAATATAGTTTTCGGAAAGCAACACAACACTCATTAGCAGACCCCACTAAGTTTCTGATATAGCAAATCTAAACATTCATTGTATACAAATCTTTTAATTTGATAGATCAAACCCACTCCAGTCTATGCCTAAAATTCCACCTGACTTAATACGAGGAGGTGAGCTATTCATCACAGTAACTCTCTCACCAAACATGGAAAGTTACATTTGGCAATATCATCAAACACTAAGCCGAATCTAGATTGACCATTCTTATGTATAATCAGCTAGATGTTAAAACAGCAGTGTATATCACCTTCCGTTGTTTCGAAGAACAGAGTCTTTTTGTTTCCCCAGAATTTTCTGCAATTTCGATTTTTCTTGCTCCAATTTAAAAAGCTAGATGAAAGGTGACAAAAACAAATTTTAGACGTATACAGAGAGGAATCCACGATGGTTTCGTCGCAAGGGGGTAGGTCTACTATTTAAAGTGCCTCTTTAAGCAATAATTTTTAATTGTGATATTAAATTCAGGTGTGATTTCCAACGTATCAGTTAGTTTATCAAATCGTTCGATTTTTATGTCTGTTTAAATTTGGCAAAACTGCGCCTTTAAATGGACCTTTTCCGTCGTCCCAAAAGTCTGGTATGACTTAAGTTTTGTGACGTCATGCATGAGATTCCTCAATACAAGATATATGCACCAAGTGCCTTGGATGACGTCAGAATTTGTCTTGACCCAGACTTCATGCCACGACGTACAAGGTCCATTCAAAAACAACTTCAAACCTCCATGACAAGAAGACAATTGGACCAAATTGAAAATTTGTTTCACAGTTACGTTAGACATTACACCAAGTCTTGATAAAAGGTTTTTGCTGTTAGGAGCACTATAAATTCTGTAACCTTTTCATTTTGATTGGGCAAAATGTGCTCCATTAAACATGGCTTATGTATTTAATGGCTTTTGCTTAGTCGTAGGGATACCAGCACTCCTACCGCATTCTTCCCCAAAATCATCCCAGAACATATATATAATAACCAAATATCTCACATCAATTACTTACGTCGATGTTATAATTTCTGTCGTTTCCCTTTTTTCCAGCTTTCCTACGATCGAGAATCGTGTTTTTCTGGTTTGGTTTTAGTTCTTCTATGTTTCCTACATTTATGTTATGCACTTGTTAATCAAAGTATAGCTATCTTAAATTCAAGGTCTAAAACTGGGATCAAAATGTCTAAAGCAATGCTTGATATTTTAAGGTATAAGAAAAGTAGCAAAATACAAAAACCTAACAATAACTATCTCTTATTACCTTTCCTTCCTCCCAGTGTATGATTAATAAATTCGAACACATCTTTTGCTTTGTCATTTTTCTAAGCAAGGAGCAGGATGAATTATTCATAACTTTTCAAATACTCACTTTTTTCAATGTTCGAGGGCGCTTATCAATACTTCATGTAATTTGATTGACTTCAGCAGCAAACGATGTTTTAACCGTTTGGGAAAGGAAAGATTTCGTAAATACCTGATAGTTTTTGCCCATATCAGTCGTTTTTTCTTTTTTGCGTATAAAAGGCTGTTTCAGCAGATTCTTTTCGCGTAGTTCTGCGCACGCGTCCAGCGATTTCCCTAAACGTACAAATGTATTGTTTTTTAACGTTAGTCGCGTAAACTGCATGTTGGGGCGTCAATGATTAACGAAACAAACCCGTTGGTAAGAGTATAATTTCGACAGGTTCAACTCGACCATCTTGGTTTTTCCCAAGACCTTTCCTAGAAAAAAATGTAACAACAGTTCAATACACTTACAAACTCAATTACATGTTTGTAGATAACGCACTAAATTACAATCACACGATTTTAATTTATCCAGTATAGTATCTCCTCCTATTCCTTGTTTAATGCAATAAACGTTGTGTACTAGAGCCTGATGCATTCAACCATATTGACTTAACATAATTAGACAGTATTGTTTCTCAAATGGTAGTTCTTCAAATAATCACAAGTTATGAATTGGTCGGACGCGTTACGATATTTTTTCTTTCATAAATATTTTAAGACAGATGACGAGTAAGAGTATTGAAAATCGTTATCCTGCACTTTGATGGTGCATCGACCAATCAGAGCTAGCGCTTTGCTTATGTTATTTAACAATGTTATATGAAATTTACATTCCATACATAAACTATATACAATCCACAGTACCGCTCCCGTATTTGTTAACATAATTTTGCTTATGATACGCGTATGATACGTGTATCGTTCACGTATCATACGCGTATGTTTTTCGTATCATACGCGTTTCATACGCGTACCGTATGTTAACAAATACGCGAGCGGTACTGTATGTGGAAAAAAAACATATTCAATAATTGCTTTACCCAAACACGTATCCCATCTTGGCCATGAGCTGTGATCCGATTCCCTGAAAAGAATCAAAAGATCATGCTGACTATATACAGCAAATAATATATAATCTGTCAGTTGCCTGAAGATCGCCCTACGGCGTAAAACTCCGAGTAGCGACAGCAAACACTTGTCCACTTTATTTCATTTTATATATATACATATACATATACATATTATTATGGATAATATTCCTGGATAAAAGAGCGCTCAATATTCTATATATTAGAAGAGCGTAAGATAAAATGAACTAAAATAAAATGGACAATTGTTTGCTGTCGCTACTCAGAGTTTCACGCCGTAGGGCGATCTTCAGGCAACTGACAGATAATATCAACGCATCAAACAACGTCTTCATCTTCGCCGACAAAACAACAAACATCTATGAAATGGACGCCCCAAATTACAATAAACTACTAACAGACAATGTGACAAAGACATACAAACACACGCAAGAAGACACTGTAGAAGAAATAAATTCCGAACTAAAACTAATCGCTGACAACCTAAAAATCGCCGACCGAATAAACTCCATGAACCATACTCCAGCATTCATATCTTTAAAAGACCACAAACCAGACTTTGAAAACAACCCCAAATGCCGCCTCATCAACCCAGCAAAAAGCCACCTCGGAAAAGTCAGCAAATACATCCTAGACAACATCAACAACATAATACGAAACGAACTAAAACTAAACCAATGGCGCAACACAACAGATGCTATCACTTGGTTCAAATCCATCACCGAAAAACAAAGAAAATCATTCATATCATTCGACATAGTTGACTTTTACCCATCGATCACCGAACACCTACTGGACAAATGCCTAGCGTGGGCAAAACAATACACAACAATCACAGAAAAAGACCACACCATTATAAAACACGCAAGAAAATCACTTCTTTTCCACCAAAACAAATCATGGTCCAAACGCAACGCTACCAACACGTTTGATGTAACCATGGGCAGCTATGATGGAGCGGAAGTTTGCGAGCTTGTAGGGCTATTCTTACTCGACCGACTACAGCAGCGGTACGGAAGCAACGTCGGCTTATACCGTGACGATGGCCTTGCAGTCATAAATACGAAATCTGGAAGACTCTGCGACAAAGAAAGAAAAACCCTCTCACACCTATTTGACGAGCTTGGACTAAAAATAACAGCGATGACAAACCATGAACGGACAAACTTCCTTGACGTAACATTTGACCTTAGCAACGACACCTACAAACCATATAGAAAACCCAACGACGAGCCCTCTACATTCACAGATCTTCCAACCACCCACCATCAGTATTACGCCAACTACCCACATCCATCAACAACCGAATTAACACACTCTCATCTGACAAAGACACCTTCGAAAATGCCGCACCAATTTACAACCAAGCTCTTAAACAAAGCAACTTCACCACCCAACTCACCTTTAATCCATCAAACATCAATGTAAACACCACGTACAACAGAAAACGTAACGTCACTTGGTTTAACCCACCATACAGCAAAACGTAAAACTCACATCGCCCATGACTTCCTACAACTTATCGACAAACATTTCCCACCAAATACTATACTCTCCAAGATATTCAACCGACACACAATACGCGTAAGCTACAGCTGCGGCGAAAACATGAAAACTTTCATAACCAGACACAACAAGACTATTTTAAAAGACTTAACCCAGACACAACCCAGAACAAGAACAACCCACCAAAGAAATGTAACTGCAGACAGAAACATCTATGCCCGACAAATGGCAATTGCCTGAAACCCAACGTGATTTACAAAGCCGACGTGACAACGACTGACAACAACGAAACAAAACTTACATAGGTGTTACTGCATGCGCTTTTAAGACACGATATCGAAACCACATTAAATCAATTACGAACATTAAATACCGCAACGAGACAGAACTTTCTAAATACACGTGGACACTGAAAGAAAACAAACGTAACTACAACATTAAATGGGACTTCATCAAACAACTTCCACCTCCGAACAAAAACCAAAGAACCTGCCGTCTTTGCCTTGAAGAAAGGCTACTTATCCTGAAAGGACGTAAAAAGAACATTTTAAATAAACGTTCCGATATGTTTAGTGCATGCCGTCATGTAACTTAACACCTTTTAGTCGATGTATATAGTCAGCAAATAAAATATTATCTGTCAGTTGCCTGAAGATCGCCCTACGGCGTGAAACTCTGAGTAGCGACAGCAAACAATTGTCCATTTTATTTTAGTTCATTTTATACATATACATATATATATATTACGCTCACTGCGCGTGCGTAGTTTGAGCCCTCTCGGATTGTGTAGGGAGTCTCATATGGAGACGTTCACCGTGTTCGCGATATGCAAAGCTCACTTTTATAGCTTTGAGCACTCTGGTAACTCTACAATACAATCTATACAATGTGTAACCGTACGTCCTGTGTCCCAAGTGCAGGAGTCACCATTTTAATATGGTGATAGCCGGGAGGGCACATTGTATATACACTTTGTATATACATATATATATATATGTATATAAAGTATAAAAACGCGCTGGCCGATGGCTGCTCAACAGAGTCACAGAACGCTCTGGTGACTCTACAATACAATCCATACAATGTGTAACCGTACGTCCTGTGTCCCAAGTGCAGGAGTCACCATTTTACTACGGTGATAGCCGGGAGGGCACATTGTTATACACTTTGTATATATATATATATACAAATATGAATAAATTATAACAATAAAAAGAAAATGAGAAAAATTAATGGAGAGCGTGTTACAAACTAAACATTGTGTTGAATCTAAAAACTTGAATATTGAAGTCAGGGTTAGTTTTGTTAATGAGGAGTGCTTCTTTGATTTTAAGGGAGAATGAGGTGTCTGCGATGTCGATGATTTTGAAGCAAGAGGGTGAATAGTTGGTTTTACATGAATGAGATTTAAAGAATGTGTGTCAACCAAGATGCACTGCGCGTTGATTACGGAGTGGCGGCCATTTTCTGGGTCACGAAAATGGTGGCTTGTGTTATTATTTGTTGTCCAAGGAACTTTGATCAACCGACAATTTTAAAATAGAATTTGTAAGTAAGTTTAAAAGTTTTTATTTGAAATAGCGTCGTTTCCTAAGCGTGGAAGGCAAAACGGAAAGTGGAAAAACACCGGATTCGTTTACAGCTTGAATTATACCACAAGTGGATAAGACAAAAAGAGTTAAATAGAATGCACAACAGAAAGAGAGTGAATTTGCTGCTTATTTTTTTCAAATTTTGAATGAAAAGAAAAGCGTAGCTATAGTCCTACGTCTATAATTTACAACTACAAAACTAGGAAATCACAATTAAAAAATAACAACGTAGAGTTTTACATACAATGACTATATTTTCTAAGCATTTTAATATAAATATGTTCTTCATACTGAAATTTACTTGTACCTGTGTCTGTTTCGAAGTTTGTACCAACTTAGTACTCGCAATTACAGTCAAAATTTTTAAATAATATTTCTTTGCTGAATTTTTCAGCTAAATTAGACGACGTATATTGGCGAACTAGGATTCAGTGTACCGATGGCTCAAAAATTAATGATGTAAACATAAAGAAAAGCGCGCAATGCATCGTGGTTGACACACATTCTTTAGGAAGGTGTCGGTAGATATGAGGGTTTTTGTCCCTCGTGGTGTGTTCCCTGATTCTGGTGGATAAATGGCGCAAAATTTCGCCAATATATTTGGGAATTACATCCCTCGCAATTGAATTCATATACCACATTGGATGTAATTGAATCAGAGATCGGGTCTTTGAATGAGAAGTTTTTGCTTTTAAATGATGTGAAAATTAGTCGAATGTCAATATCTGTACAGAAGCGTTTCATAATGTTTGTAAGTCGATCTGCGCTGTGTATGTCGTGAGTAATGTCCGATGTATTGTAGTTTAAAGTATTGAGTGGTTATTTTTGAATTTTCGTTTGCGTTGGCGGTGGTCGTCGTATCAGGAGTTTCAGTAGGGAGCTTTAGCAAGAGTACGACTACGACAACGAGTACGAAGTTTGACCGTGTAAGGAGAACGGCACGAGGAAGTTTGTTCTCATTGTCGCTTCGTCAAAATTTTGTTTAGTTGTAAACAACAGAACGAGCCTTTTTATTGTGTAAAACACCGAAGTTTGCGAAATAGCTACGACTCTTTTTGTCAATAATGATATCAATGAATCGGTAATACTGATTTTGCGAGAATATAGGACTCCTTAAACTTAACAATCTTCACTATTTTAAATTTTATGTACGATATATCTGTACTATTTTATTGTTTGTTTACCTTTCACTTTGCGTACGAAATACATGAAAGTTTTTTCTATTTAAATGTACATATGCGCTCAAAAAAGGTTTTAAATTAAAGCCTGGATGCTCGAAAATAGCACTGTAAACTAATTTCTTACAGAATGAAGAAATATACCTACTTTCTCTGCTTAAAAAGACATCGTAGTCGCGACTGCAAATTTTATACAAAACATCGTACTCAGATTGAAGACGGCTACGTGTTTTTACTGTCGCAACAGTGTTTTTGCCCCAAAAGATGTAAATCGTACTCGTAGTCGTACTCGTAGTCTTTGCTAAAGCTCCCTAATATCCAGTTTCAGGTTATTGTTATGTTTGTTGTCGAGATATCGTTTTACGGTTCTGTTAATAAAGTGTAGTGGGAAAGAGTTTCGTAAAGAATGGATGTGATGCTTTTTATGTCTCGTCGAAAGCCATTGCCCGTATACTCTGTCAATGAGTGTGCGTGTACGTTAGGTTTTATATATACTCCGTATTATTTATGAAATTATTCACTCATATGAAGATGGATGGCATGATGAGATGTCGAAACATGTCTATTTTCAAAAACTCGTCGTTTACATCAAAGGAAATAAATTGGTCAACATCTGTGTTTGCGTCACGCCACTAAGTTAAAGACGGCGCATATCCATTTATTTTGTATTTGTAATTTATCCCTCGTTTAGTAGTGTTAAAAGAAGGGCATACACCCCTGCAGCCTCTATAACTCAGTTACTTTTACTAATGAAAACGACTTTATCAGATACTCTGAAAAAATTAAGAAAAGTAATACTAACCTTTGTGTGTTTTTCCCAATTTCCTAGACCAGCTATACCAACACTGCTTGGAATGCTTTCACGAAACTCTGCAATTACAGCTGTCTTATCATCAGATCCAGTTTCGTCATCTGAAGTCCATGATTCAACATTGGAATCATCATCAACACTATCTATAATGTAAGGTAGACTAAGTTTACTAAAGTATTACCGTCATTTGACAAACTGTTTTGTTGTTGTTTTGCATAGAGAATATCCTACACCTACCAGCATAAAAAAACCAAAAGGACTAGCAACTCTACCCCAATCAACACCAAAATATCCACCATGACCGCCCCCTCCACCCAACAGTCTCAATCACCACCACCACTAATACCACCACCATTACAACATACCACCACCATTACAACCACTACCATTTATACCATTATAACCACTACCACCACTAACACTACCAACATTACAACCACTACCACCATTACAACCACCACCATCAACACCACCATTACCACCACCACCTCCATTACAGCCATCAACACCACCATTACCACCACCACAATCACTATCACAACCATCATCACCACAATGATCATCATCGTCACCATCACCAACCCAACCAACAGAAGATATTTTAATTTCAGTAGAACAAAGTAGACCGACCTGCTATAGGAAGAACGTCTTCAGGTTTTACACGCCTGTTGCTGTTATATGTGTCATAATGTATTTCCACATCTTCCGCAGTCAAAGACCTGTTTTAAAAGAGATCATGGTACAGAACGTCTGGAATGTCACCGACCTTCCTTGACAACGTTAAAATACTTTATATGAAAGAATGTTAAAATACTTTGTTATAAATAGCCTCTTAAAATAATCACTTATGGGTTGAATGTTCAAAAAACCCGAGTGTCCATAACTCAACAGAAACACGTACAGGTTACGTACGATGGGAATTTAAAAGGCAAAAATATACAAGATGCAATAAAAATTGGTAAATTTATTTATTTATTACATGAAACACTTTTCAAAGTTCGGGAGATAGACTAACACATAGTGTTAGTCTATCTCCCAAACTATTTCTATAACTCATTAGAAACACGGAAATTTTTTTTATTTCATAAATGTAACATGATTTTCTCAAATTTTCGAAAGCATTTTAAAAGAAACCGATTTCACGGATAAAGGCTGTCAAAAATGCATAAAGAAACTTACAGTATGGTTGCCTTGTACCAAATACCATCGTCGTATTTCGCTAAGCATTTTTCATCGACTTTCAGCAAGCTAAAGAAAGACATTCTTTAAAACGACGATGATAAATTTTTTTTTGTAAAACACATCTTACGGTCATTAAATTAACGTAAGTAAACTACAATCTTGCTTTAAACTTTTCTCGACAAATCACTAGAGTTTACGTGTCTCTAAAATTGACAGCCGCAATTTTAACTCCCCTTCTCTTTAAAGCCCCTATCTATTAAGCCATCGTCTCTAACAAGCCTTCCCCTCTATTAAGCCATCCTCTCTAACAAGCCTTCCCATCTAATAAGCCATCCTCTCTAACAAGCCTTCCTCTGCCTTCCATCTAATCCATCCTCTCTTCCCATCTAATAAGCCATCCTTCTAACAAGCCTTCCTCTTCCATCCTCTTCAATGCTTTTCCTCTAAAGCCATCCTCTAATTGCCATCTATTATCCTTCTAACAGCCTTCTCCTAACAAGCCTCTTCTTAATTCTCATTTCGAACTTTCGGATTCGACAGCCTTCTTATCCTCCCATATCTTCTACCTTCCATATCTTTTCCACGATTATCTCTAACAAGTTTTCTCTAACGATCTCTAATCCTTTCTATCTTTCATTTTTCTATTTTCTCGATATTATCCTTTCTACAGCCTTCCAATGATATCCTTCTTTCTAATAAGCCTTCATCTCCATCCTTCCGATTTTAATTTTCCTCCATCTAATATCCTTGCAAGCCATCCTCTTATTCTCTAAGGCCTTCCTCTACAGCCTCCTTCTCTCGGCAAGCCTTCTCTAATTTCTCCCATAATATTTTCGTCTCTAAATAAGCCTTCCTCTCCGAGAAGTCATTGTCTCTAATAAGTCATCGTCTCTAGTAAGCAATCGTCTCTAATAATCCTTCCTCTATAATAAGCCATCCTCTCTAATTAGTCATCGTCTCTAATTATCTCTAATTAGTCATCTTCTCTAATACGCCATCGTCTGTAATAAGTCATCCTCTCTAATAAGTCATCGTCTCTAATAAGACATCGTCTCTAATAAGACATCGTCTCTAATAAGTCATCGTCTCTAATAAGTCATTGTCTCGAAGAAATCCAGGGGGGAAACGAATGATTTGATTGGTTGGTGAAGAAAAACGAATGATTTAATTGGTTGGTGAGGGAATCCACCGGGAAAAAGTATAGAAGAAAGAAGAATGTAAACCTGATTCACAAGAAAAATCTAAATAAAATTTTTTTGTAAATTCAATGAAATTAGTAAACACAGGAAGTGTAAAAGTATGAAAACAGAAAATATTTTGTGGAAATATTTATTCGTGTTGGGAGGAAATTTTCAAAGTGACTAAAAATTTCAATGTGATGTCGTGTATTTTTTTACTATCCATCGAGTCTGAGAGCAAAAGTATGCAAACCTACCTGAAATCAGGCTCAACATAAGCTTTCAGTTGTGCCATGTCAACCATATGACCATGCGAAAACCTATTAATTTACAAAGTTCCAAAATATGATATATCAAAGGATGGCCAAAAGAAAGATAATAATCTATGAGTGGTCGATAGTAACAAATCAAGATTGGCAAAATTTTAAATACAACATCGGATCATTTCTAATGAAAACACTAGACAGAAGAATACTTCAACATCAGATCACTTATAATGAACACACCAAACTGGAGTATATACAGATTCAAGTTTCCATATAGATTACTCCTGAAGAGAGTACAAGACTGGAGCATATAACGACTCAAGTTTCAACATCAGATCACTTCTAATGAAGACACTACAGTGGAGTACATACAAATTCAAGTTTCAACATCAGATTACTCCAGATGAAGACATTAGACTGGAGTATATAAGAACTCAAGTTTCAGCATCAGATCACTTCTGATAGACACTAGACTGGAGTATATAAGAATTCAAGTTTCAACATCAGATCACTTCTGATGAAGACATTGGACTGGAATATATAAGAACTCAAGTTTCAACATCAGATCACTCCTGATGAAGACATTAGACTGGAGTATATAAGAACTCAAGTTTCAGCATCAGATCACTTCTGATAGACACTAGACTGGAGTATATAAGAACTCAAGTTTCAACATCAGATCACTCCTAATGAAGACATTAGACTGGAGTATATAAGAACTCAAGTTTCAACATCAGATCACTTCTGATGAAGACATTGGACTGGAATATATAAGAACTCAAGTTTCAACATCAGATCACTCCTGATGAAGACATTAGACTGGAGTATATAAGAACTCAAGTTTCAGCATCAGATCACTTCTGATAGACACTAGACTGGAGTATATAAGAACTCAAGTTTCAACATCAGATCACTCCTGATGAAGACATTAGACTGGAGTATATAAGAACTCAAGTTTCAGCATCAGATCACTTCTGATAGACACTAGACTGGAGTATATAAGAATTCAAGTTTCAACATCAGATCACTTCTGATGAAGACATTAGACTGGAGTATATAAGAACTCAAGTTTCAACCTCAGATCACTCCTGATGAAAACACTTGACTGGAGTATATAAGAAAGAAGGGTTGAACATCAGCTGTAAAAACTGAATAAAATAGACTAGGGTAATTCAAACTATGTATTATTTCAATATCTGATCACTTTACATCAATTTTAAAGACTAAAGCTTCAAACAAAGACCAGTTTGTACAGTTTCAACTTTACCTGCAACTATCGCTGTCAAATCGACATTTTTCATCCAAGAAATACGGACATGGCAACATCGACTTGTGCGTTGGATTCGTAAATAGAACTCGCACCTACATGTCGAACACAAGGTGACGTCACACTTTGTTTGAAATATGTGGCGTACAATACTCAAAAAGTGATAAAACAAAAAAATATTTTTGGAGAATGACAAATAGACAAACGTTTGTCTATACCAATAACTACCCAATGCACATAAATATATACTTAACATGCTTGGTGTCCTTCTCTAGGCTCAATGACGTTGATGTGATCACGTGAATTGTATGACAACAAACGTAAACATATAAATATATTATGTAGGTAATTTAGTCCATGCACTTTATTTGTTTGCTGACTAGAGCTCAGCATCTATTGATCTGTTGTATAACAGGATAATATACACCGTATGACAAGTAATCAAACACAGAAAAATCAACATAGCAGAACTAAAAAGGCGAGCTAGTTACACTAGTGTAGACAGAACACATTGGACAGTTTTGTCATTTAAAGATGCTCAAGAACAAGAAAAAATAAAAAAAACTTTTCTAATGCTCAAACAAGTAACAACACTGACTTTCAAATTATTTAAGAAAGATAAGTGTTGTCCTAAACTCTTTTAAATGGAATCATTGTTCCCCATTGTCTTCCCTTTGCATAAGTTCTGCATTCACCCCCTTTATGACGTCATAATGTGTCAAAATGACTTGACTACACATAGTGGCTAAATGTGCATTCTCATCTACATAAACAGGACCATTCCACGTTCAGTAAAATCGAGTTCAAATGATTTAAACGTGCCATTGCAGTCACTTACAAAGACACCAACCTTGAATGCATCCGTACCGCCGTAGTCCATTTCTTCAACGCTGTAAACCATAGCGTTGTGATAGCCGGTGACACCCCAATCCTTTTCGATAATACAAAACGACATTCAAATAATCAATGATGTACACTGATTGGATGATCGATGAATGACAACACTCACAAAGCTATAAGGAGCACGACACCGTGTTCCTGAGACGCTCCTCTCTATATCCGAGGCATGCGATGTGGACGTGCTCGAAGATTCTTCTGGACTGTTATCTTTGGTTATGGCAACATCACTCTTTACAAATAAAACGCATTTCAGAGTTTCATTTTAACATTTCTCTGTGATCCAATTAAATTTCAACTTAGAATCAAACTCAATTATAATTTGATTATGCATGGCACGAGCTTTGTTAATTAGTCATTAGTAATTATTTGGTTAGTAGTAATAACATATTAGTCATGAGTTTTGATTATTAGTCTAGCAATCTTTGTCTACAATTGTTTGTCTGACATGGCAAAAACGCTTTAACATATGACTTATTATTGAGAAACACAGACCTCCTTCTCTTCATATTTATCTGATGTATTTATCCATTCCAATAGTTTTGTTTTCTTCAAGCAAAGAAGACTTTCTGTAAAGTATTGTAAAGTATTATTGCTCACAGGCAAAACACAAGAGGAACAAAACACAAAAAAGCTAAGTTAACAAAGAAAGTTTAACATCCATACTGCCACTTCTCATAAAAAAGATCTCGTGTCAGCATTGAGCAACAAGATGTGATACAACGAAAGACATTTGATACAAACTTATGCAAGAACTTAACTTATCACTGACCAGTGCGATAAGAATACAAAAATTTTCATGGGTGTAGAATTTGTCTTAGAGAAAAAATTGGAACATTACATTGCATAAACAATCAAATGAGCACCCAGGTATTTAATAAGTTCACATGGTTCTCGTATTTATTTGAGTAGTAGGTGAAACACAGTATTGATAATAAATAATGATATCTCAGTTTCCCAAAATATGTTTTGTACACAACCAACTCATTAAGCATAATATACGAAGAACCAACTGAATATACACATTATTTTACTAAATGCATTTGAAGAACCTCATATTTATCGGTACGATTTGTGCTTTCCACCCCCCAAGATTAAAATGTCACATTCACTATTGTTTATATCATTTTTAACACATTAGTGTCGACAGATAAAAACAAAACTAAGAGTATATAAATGTTTTCTTAACTCAATCGAAAACTTACTACACAATATTTTCATAATGGTAATGGCTTCAACGAGACCTTGCATTGTGTCAATGCATCAGACAAGGGAGGCTTTTTTAGATATAGTAAGTCAATGAACAGCAAGAAATGTCATATAACCAGTAGAATAGACGACTTGCCTTGTTTAAGTTTTGATGGCAGGCAGATTTGGTCAAGTGATTTTGGGCAACACTGACAACAATGAATAAAGTCCCTTGGGTTGAATCTGTCATCAAAACCTAAACAAGCAGGACATCTGCAACTAACCTTCAGTTGTCTTTATCAATTCAAGAAGATCTTCTCTCAAACTGCGAAGTTCCTCATTCTCACCAGACACAAGAATGGTTTCAACTTGGTTCAGCTGTAGAAAGAAACAGTTTTATAAATTATAAATCATACTTAAAACCAAGATTAGTTATAACGTTATAAATTTTATCTTCACCAAGTACAAAAACGTGTTCTCCAGAAGAAATTATTACAAAACTTCTGCTAGTTGCTAGTTAGTGATGTAGTTCTTACTTCTTTGCAGGGCTATTAATATTTATGCACACTGGAAAGTTCGTAAAAATTCGAAATGAAAGAAAATAAAAGTATGTATGTGTAGTATGTGTAGACAGCTGCTTGTTCAGATACTGAAGGAAAACATTTTTTGGGCAGATAAAAAAGCTACAGCTACTCGCGTATTAAAGACGTGTTTCGACACAAACCTGTTGTTTGTACGTATTAATGGAGTCGAGAAGTTCATTTTCTTCCATACCAAACATTCACTAACTCCTTAAATATCATAATATCCAATTTTCCTTCTTCTCAGTCGCACTGAAGTTTGCAGGAGGAACGATAACAAAACGACAACACTCAGCCATCTTGAAAAATGCTCAATTATCTTGAGGGCTTCCCCAATACTTTGTGTAAGACTGATAATCGTCTCATCATTTCCATGAAATTTTCTATATGACATCTTAATAAATAACTAAATTTCAGTAATATCTTTTCACTGATAACAACATAAATATAACAAGTATAACATATTGGTAGATGTTTATTGTCAAAATTAACTATTGGAGCTTTCAGCTTTGAAACATGGGTGTTCCATGTTCGCGATTTGAACTGAATAGTAATGAAACTGTTTCCTAGGTTTCCTAACTGGTTCTTTTCCTATGTCATATCAAAAAATCCTCAAAAATCTGCTGCTGTCCTGTGTCTCATTAAATTTAAAGGATTAATGTCTTGCATATGTCAGTCAATGTTTAAACCGTTTAAAATTTCTGGATTCCTGCTGGCCGTTCATTAATTTGGTGCACTTTTAAAAACACAGTATAAACGTTGAAACAAAAAGCTTAATATCTTTCTTACAAGGAACACCTACACTCGAAATGTTCTGGTGGTACGGACACTCGGACATCCACGGCTTCACAAGCCTCTGATGGTGAAAGACTTTCCAACAGTCTTGCCAATTGCTGGTTCGCCAATGTTAAAACGTCACGAAATTGTATGTTGAGGAAACGTCTCGGTGATTCAATGCGAGCACATTTTCAACTTTAAGTAGCACATACACATACAAATGTGTATGTGCTACTTAAAGATGATTGGTCTAGTAGTCGGTGAACCCTACATCACACAAAGCCCCCACAATCAGAACATTAACAAGACGTGCACAAATCATATGCGATTCACCGGACGCTCTACAAAACGAAAACAACTATCTCAAACGTGTTTTTGACAAAAACAACTATAACTCTGACTTTATCAAACGCAACACTTACAAACCCAACGAACCCAACGAAACGAGCAACTCAGTGACAACAGCAACGATACCTTACATCAAAGGTACGTCTGAGACTATCTCGCGTATCTTACGACCATACAACATACGTGTCGCACATAAACCAATCACAACGTTACGACAAGTACTAACGAGCATAAAGGACAAAGAACAACCCAACGAACGACAAGGTGCAGTTTACAAAATAAACTGCTCCGACTGCCACGCCTCCTATATCGGGGAAACTGGCAGGAACTTAAACATAAGACTTACTGAACACAAACGAGCTACTAAGAAACAAGACAAAACTAATCACATAGCCGAACATCACCGAATCACAAAGCACAACATTGACTGGGACTCGGCAAATTGCATTACTTACAGTACTGACTACAGACAACGGCTTACATTAGAAAGTTGGTATACCAACTTGGAACAAACCCCCCTGAACAGATCACAGCAATTACCGGCACCTTACAAACGACTTATTCACAATACAAACATACGATCAACTAAAAACATTACACTTCACACTATGACAATACACAATTGACACCCACACATTACAACTAAAAACATCACACCTAAATCACACATCACAACTAAAAATAAAGTATTTCACTTCACACAAATTCACAATGACAATGCACAATTCCTGTACACACAATACAATGACGTAAGGACCAGATAACAAATACGGCTAACCTCACGTTTACTCCTCATTTGACTCTGAAAATGACTACTGCTAAGGTTGTCGAAACGTCAGTGAACAACAACAAAAACAGTCCTTCTCAGGACTATACCAACCTGGACGATCATCATTTACAAACATGTAACGATACTCCCGGGCTCAAACCATTTACTTTATTTCGATTTTTCAATGGTAAAACTTTCTTTCTTTCACATCAATTCTCGTTCTTACTTCTTACTTTCGAGCGTTTTATGTAAAATCGTAAATTGTAAGTTGTTTCAATCGTAAGTTGTTTCAATGCGTTACCTTACGAATGCGATCAAAAAGCAAAATATGTGAAATAACGAGCTATGAACTGCATCCTGCTATGATATAGATATTGGTCACTAACAGAAATTATAACACTGGCGACAGAAAATGAGATTACCTTGCTCAGAGATAGATCTTTTACATTTATCATCATCTTCGCTCTCAATCTGGTAACCCTTACATAATAGTCAATTTGCTTGCCAAGAGCTACCACAACTACTTGATGCAAAATCATAATTTCTTGACCAGTTATTGGGCTTATTTTCTTCAGACTCGTCGCTGACAAATAGTCAGTTTTTTTTTTGTTGCTTGACGAGCGTCAAATTCAAAACTTCGAGGGCGTGCTTCCCGTTTAATAAAGGATTTTTCTTCCTTTTGCTTCCTACTGTTCAAAAAATAGATTGCAATGCTGTTCTCGTTACAAGAATCATTCATGCACTCTCGTTTATGTTAATTATATGTTTGAAATACGGAAGTTTTGAAAATGACAGCTATAAATAACATCAAGATGCAAATGAATGGCAAAATAGCGATTTTATGTATATTTTTAATTCTTAAACAGCCTATTCTCTACTGAGCTTTCCGAAACGTTCAGTTTAAAAACAGCGTCGGTAATTCCCATAATCTCAGGGCAGCATTGCTAATCCCGCGTAAGGGTAAAACACGGAAATGGAAAGGCGGGACGGAATGGCGGAAGTGGGATAGAGGGGGCAAAACACGGAATAGAGGGTAAAACGCGGAATACAGAGTAAAACACAGAATAGAGGGTAAATTGGTTATAAGTATTTGCCACCATAAACATAAGGATTGTTCAGTTTAAGACAATGAGCAAATAAAAATTTCTAGCAGTTGGTAAAAATTAACAAAAAGAAAAATTCACTATTTAGACAATTTATATATGCTGTTGAAAAACGTTTCTGAATGCATGTGATTCTGTCTGCATCCTTAATGATAGTCAATTATATAAGTGAAGCGTAAGCGGTCAGTCTAATAATCGTCATTCCACATTCATCGTCTTGAAAATCCAGAAAAGCTTTACAAAATAACCAAAATCTTTCCTTTCTCGATTTGACATCATCGCTCCACAAATATCAAAGAAACACATACCTTTCTCAACCTTGACTCAACAGGAAATACTTTGTACACGGCGTCATATGTAAGTTAGCCTAGTACAAACATTCCCGTATAGTACACTCAACCATATGACTGAGACGGAAAATCATCTGATAACGAGGAAAACCCTGTTCAATCTTGGGAAAACTTAAATTTGGATGAACTATAAATAATTCATTGAGTACACATTCAAAATTCTAGATATTAGCATGTGCGAAGGAATTTGCGATAAAATGATTTCTCACAATTACTATGTCTCTAGAAGAAATAAAATTGATCCTGTTTTATTTTTTATAATATAGATTTTTAACATACTCAGTTCTATGGGACTTTGATATGTAACTTTTTATGATTATTATTTAAATGCAATGATCTGTAGAGTACGAAGAAATAGAGTAAAATTTTTAATAATTTAAGTCCAGTTGCAAATACTACAATAAAAGATCGGATTGTATCAGAAATCCACGAGTAGAATATGAATAACTTGCATATAAACTGCATCGTTAAATATGTGCGTAAAATTGCAATGCACCGTGTTACGTGATTTACTCTTTGTAAACGTTGCATGTGAAAAAACATACAGAAAGGCCCACTTTTGAATTTTAAATGAACACAACAGCAACTAATGTCACGAAAAATGAAAATATTTATCATTGATCGGTTTCTTCCACTGCACTAAATCCTATAGCTTATATTACACAAGCGTTATCTCACCATAAGCCTATTACAAACAGTTCTGCGCAAGACATAATAACCCACTAGCTGAAATTTGAGAACGAAGAAGAAGTACACCTAGTTCATACCAAAAAAAGTACAAACGGGAATAAAAAAATAATTGTTTCTTTAACACGAAAGTCGTTTTACCTGCTTTTATGCCTTTTTAAAGATAAAGTATTCATGTGCAAAGTCTTGAAGTGAGTCAATTTTGAAGACGAGCAGTATTTTTGAGACAGACAATACGTTATTTAACGATAAACATTATCGTTGAGGAAAGCACAAATTACGACAATCGTTATAACGATGAAAATGTTTCGTCTGAAGATGAAACAATCGAGGTGACTTTGAAGGTCTCAGAGAACACCTTTAGCTCGTCTAGCAGAGCACTTACAAAATAGGAACAAATGACAGAAAGAACAAATCAAACCCCCTTGCACTTATAAAGATATAATAAAGACGGCCTTTGCAAATCCAACACGTCAAATAAAAACAGCACACAAAATCACCACATTTATTGGTGCGATGTTCCTTTCAGAAGATTTCTATAAAAAATCCTGTACAAAACATAATAACCCACAAGCTGTTTATTGAGCACAAAAGTAAAAGAGGAAGACCCAGTTCATTCTCAAAAAAGTTTAAATGTGCATGAAATAAATAAGATTCCTTAATATACACATTAAAAGTATAGAAGTTTGTGATTATGAAACTATCATATAACATGACTTGAGCTGTTTTAAACATGTATACTTACAAAAGAATATTTGTTATTCATTGCAAATCATTGTTATTCTACATTTCTAAAACTCAAGCATTTTGTTTCAGTAAATTTTTGTGCTATGTTAAGGAGAAGTTTACTGTACAAACTTTTGATTCATGTAGACTTTTATGATCTTATCATTTTAATGACTTTTGGCAATTTCAGTATTTATAGTTTTTGTGCGATGCTCAGTGAGTCAATAAATGTTTCCTTTAAGTCAACGTTTAAGTTATGTGAATTTTGGCTACTATGATAATTGTCGTTCCTGGGGTTTCTTGAAACAATCTTTATAAATTGGATATTAAATAGGCACAGCATTTTTTCTAAATTACCGACTAATAAACATCCTGGAGTAAAAAATATATTAAAGTCATAAGCAATATTAGGATAACTGGCAGATCTGTTGTACAAATTATAAGGTTTCAGTTTTTGGCTAGAGAGCATTTTAAGAGGCGGCAGTTGTCATTTCTAGGTGACAATGAAGACTGTGTTCCCATAAAACAATAAATGACGGGGAAAATGGGAATTAACAATATTTATCACGGCAACGCACACT